CACGGGCTATGTTACGTGAACGCTTTAGATTAAATTTAGTCAACAAGTAGCGGGGTCGATAACCCTCGAATTCCTTACTCTGTTTGCTGGTAATAGATTAAAATCAGTGCTCGATTAAATGTTAACTCAGTTATAACTTTCATGATTTGATTTTGTTTGCGCTTCCATTCATTAGGCCAACCATAAAACGAACCTTCGGTTATATGTAACTGGATATGGAAGAAACTCCGAGTAATATCGATTCTGCGATCAGTGCTCGTGGCTAGTAACGTGTACTCCTCGATTAAAGCATCTTTAAAATATAATAACATAATTGTGATCGTAGGATACAAATAGATTTTTATGGTTGCAGATTTGATCGATAATTATTGAGTTTGATCCTACATAGCTTTAGGCATACATCATTACATGCAAAGGATACTTAATTTTTCTCGTTCCATGTACTCGTCTTTAAAATATATTTCGGCACGTGCATTCGAAATTGGATGATCGTGTCTTCTCCATTCATTCGATAATTTCAAATACTAGACTCAAAGACACTTCTGTAATAAGTATTCTAAACTACCTCTGATACTTTAGAATCTAGCTGCCTGCGATGGTCTTCTTTCTCTTCGAAGTTCTTGAATTTGACACTGTCACAGAAAGATAACATTTTCCAAAGGTTTTCGTAGCATTGCAAATTTTGGGAATGAAATTTAAAAATAGGTATTAGGATATTAATCCTCGCATACTCTTTGTTTGATCGATAAACACTGGGTCCGCATAAATATCGCCGTTCACAAATGTAATCGAATAATTTTTTAAACAGTATCGTAGGATATTTTTAGACTTTACTAGAATGCAATGGTCGAAGTGTTCCTGTAGGGAACACTTGGCCAGGTCTAGATGACCCGTTAGAATCTGGCTACCAGATGGGTCATGGGAGGTTGGGACCAGGCCACGTGAGGCGGCTTCCTCTGTCATAAACCGAGGGTGACGCTTCAGAGGGCCTAACCCGGAAGAAGGAGTCTCCTCTATCCTTGACCTTGCGGCAGTTTTTAGAGTTCGAGAGTTGGGAGTTGTTAAGATAGTTATTGAAGCAGTCGTTGGTTGTCAAGATTCAGTCACGTTAGTTCCAATTCTTAATCAGCGAAAATTTTAGTCCAAGTACAGGTAGCCCTCCTACAGCACGATATCCGATAACACGGTTTCGTTATAACACGATAAGAAAATTGCAAAAACCTTTGTACAACAGTGTACTTCTACATGAGCCGAAGAAATTTATTAAATTAAAGTTGCGTTAAATTAAAATAATATCTTTGCTTTTCTTTTGTTTTGTGTCGCACATATGTTTATATTTTTAATAAAAATTAAGTTATTTATGTAGAATTAAAGAAAAATTTGTTTTTAGTAAGTTTTCGAAACGTAACCCCCCTTTCTGTGCTGGCTCTGGGTTTCATACAACAGGGTTTCACACAAGACGGCATTTTCTAGGAACCTATTTACCGTGTTATAGGAGGGTTACCTGTACTCTCCAGCGTCGTAGAGACGTGTGATTGTAGAGTATTTTATACTTTCAATATTTGATTCTCGATGTAAAAACGAAATTTCACAGATTTACAATATGTTTTTGCACCGTGGCTCTAGAGGCAATGCGACCGACTCCTTCTCGGCGGCTTTGCATTATTAATTCGAAAGGTTATCTGCCGGAACGCAGAATCCTTGCAGAATTCTTTACGCTCAAAGGAATGCTGTCATTAATAAGCGGAATTACCTCTTATCCGGGTAAATTGTGCCGCACGCTCCTCGTCGCGTTGCCCATCAGTTATTTCCTCCACTGTGGGGTATCTTTTAAGAAATGTGCGACCGACTCTTTTATTCATTCCGGGCGTGGATTAAGCACCGAGGATGTCCTATAAGCACTTTTCATCGTATCCCCGTCCGGGTAATCAGTGTTGGAATTTAACATGCCTATCGTTCTAAGCATTTTCCAAGAGTTCTTCATCCATAGGATGCAATATTAAATTTATAATATTAATTTGTCACGAGAAGTGTATTCCGAAGTAAAGTTTCATTCGAGTAAATAGTGTTCATAAAGTAAATAGATTAAATATCGAACCTTGCAGTTTGCTTCTTAAATAGAATCATATAGCACAGCAGTATAGTAGGAATAACGTCAGTTTATAATTCAAGAGAAAGTAGTTCTCGTGTGTAATTATTAAACAGCTCTTTCTTTGTCGAGTGCTACATGCGTTCAAAGGTTGATATCCTATTTCTCAATCAACTTGTATGCGAGACTATATTTATTCCATAAGTCCACAACTGTTTCTAGATTATTCCTCGAGGCATCGAGCTAGGAATGTCAACCTAAAGCCCAACTATTGTCTTATATGCACGTTTGCATTATTAATACACCGTGCACATTATTATTTTACGGCAAAGTGAGTAACAAACGTCAGGAAAAAAAAACTTATCCGGGGAATGATATATGAAAATGAGTTACTAAATTATTCAACTGACTTTTACATGAAACACGGTGAATAATAGTGAAATAGTTTAGTGTCGCACGAGTAACAATAACGAATAATTCATGATTTATTATACACTCGTTTAGACACCTTTATTTTGAATTGGTCGGTTTGCGTTATCTTTATCGATATTCTTATTTTCTAGTTAATTATTTAGGTATTTAGCGATTATAAATTAAGCCTTTATTGTTATACAATTTTACATTTTCGACGAACATTTGTAACCCACAACGCCAATCTAGGAAAACGATCTTCACGCACGTAGCGACCCTTAGAGAAAGCAATTAACGTAACAATCCTCAAAGATGCCCAAAAGACACAGCTAGAAACTAAATAAAACAAGGAGAAAGGAAAGAAAAGGAAAACGGAGAAATTCATCAATTTACCGTGTCTGTCTCTCACGCGAAAGTGGTAAATCTCGATGGCCCCGTTGCACGTGGTTCCGCTTCGTTCGCCCCAATACATTTAACCGTCGCTCTCTCCGGTTGCGTTGGAAGACGTAAAAAAAGGAAAAGGAGAAAGCGAAGGAAAGAAGGAAGGAAAGAGAAGAAAGGGCGAAAGAAAAAGAAAGAAAGAAGAGAAGAGGGAAAGGGGCACGAACAAAGGGTGGGACAGGGATTGGTAGGTGGAAACGGAAGAAAAGAATAAGGAACGAGAGGTACGGTACAGGGAAACGGGAGACATTCTCACGTCACTCACACGAGAATACCTTAGTGACTCAATCCTGGTCGAAGAAGCGTGGTCGGACAGAAGAATGGCTGCCAGGGGTTGCCGAAGGGGTGGCCGAGTGTTTCGAGGGTGGCTGCTGCTCTCCTTGGTCCCAAAGAATTTCAATAACCACTTTTATTTCTATTACTTATCGTCTGGATGAAAATTTCTCGTTACTATGAGAAACTGTCCAGTCCTTTCCCACCCCTTTAAAAACGACGGGTGAAAAGGAAGAGGCACGCGAGTTGAAAAAGAAGAGACTTCCATCGTTGTCCCTTCGAGTATATCTTTCGTTCTCCAATGAAGGACCATCGTAAAACGTTTCGCTGGCCCTTCATCAACACAGCCAGCTCGCCAGTCAACGATACCAGTCCGGTCGAGATTTTTTTACGACAGGCTTGCTATTATTATCATTTTATATACGAGCACCGTTTCTCCATCGCTGCTTCCTCGAACAACGAACGACTCTACGCTCGATCAATTCGGTTTGCTCGTTCCTCTGTCGAGGAGAACACTCGATGAAGGTGAAAAGGAAATGATAACACGTAGTTTTCAATTTTAGCAGATTTTGCTGTTCCTTTCTGGTGGTCTCCTGTTTTAGCTTGGTTAAAACTTCATTCGCTTTCTCGGGGTACATTTGTAGGATTTTATTTGTACGCGATGTCGCGAAAAATGTGGGTAGTTAAAATAAACTTAAGATAATATAGGTGGTAGAGAAGATTAAAATTCTCATAGAATTAGCATTTTCTCGAATAATGTATACTTATAGGAGTTTGTCAAGTCTTTGTCAGTTCAGAGATAGTGTTTTATGCTAAATATCATAAAAACGTAATTAAAAGTCCGAGGTTGAAAAGGGTTTATAATTTTTACGTTTTATAATTATTTCTTTTTATGTATACTTGGTATAATATATCTTCGATTTTGAAATTGTTTCACATTCTTTGAACACAAGTTACCAGGATCGATAGGAGATTAGATGGTATAATGTTGCACTTTATTTTACTTACTTTACTTACAGGAAATCAATGTTATAGGTTCGAGAAGCGGATCTTGTACTTTCAAATCGGACTTTCCTTCGTTGAAAAAGTAGACAAGGAGTGGTATGATTAGACTGTCTGTAGCAGAGCTTTCTTCGCGAAAGCAAACGTATTATTGTCGAATAAACATACGTTTTCCAATACCGCCTTGGTAGTTACTGAACTTCCGATAACTGCTATATTAACGATTTCTACTACTTTCAGGAGGAAGATATTCAAGACATGGAACATTGGAAGAAACTTATCTTGGAATTCGGTTAATGCTTGACGTATGTACAATGCATACGATATCGGGGATGAATATCACATTTTCTAATCAATCATTCCTTCTTCACCCTTTAGAATCTCCGTAGCAACGGGAAGAAAAACTATTTCTGTTTCCGAGGGAAAAATACGGTAAAAATTAATCGCAATTTACAATTTGAACTAAATAAGTTTACAAATTAACGTATCTCTTCTTACTAAGAATATGATTTTTGCAGATTCTGATACCCATGATTCTTCGAACTCATGCAAAAGAAAAATGCAAACGTTGTTACGGACAAGGAATGTTAGTGTGTATGATTAAATAAAATATGATACAGCGGTAAGTTGTACTATTTAATATACATATAGTTCGAAAAATATCGAACTGCGTATTCGTATAAAATAATAATTAAATACGAGTTATGAAATAAAAAGCAGGGTTCCATAAATTGAAGGGAGATTTTGACGTTTAAATTTGAAATAGTCTATTAACTTTTTAAACTCAGTAAGCCTGTGTTTTTGAACTCAGTAAGCCTGTAATCTCAAATAAAATTATTTGAGCAATTGAACGAATAGAACCTAATATTGAATAATTATTATTTGAAAATCAACCAATTATAAAAATAGAAAAATTATTAATCTTATATTAAGAAAAACAAATTATAAAATATTTATATTCATAAAAACTAATTAAATGTAATCAAGGATAAATTAATCATAATATAAGAGATAAAATAAATATAATTATTGGTCTTAATAAAAATATTAAATTATAATTAAAAAATAATCATTCTTTTGAAATTAATTTTAAAGCATCACTAAAAGGTTGTAATAAACGTTTATAACCAACTTTATTTGGACCTTTACGAATTTGAATTATAGATATAAATTTTCGTTCTAATAACGTCAAAAATGCAACTCTAATTAATAATAAAATTACTATAATTAAAAAATGTTTACTAAATATATCGCTAGAATTGTTCATATTAGCTAGAACCAATAGCAGAAATTAAAATACCGATCTTGCGGTGTTCAAAATCAGTTTAAAATATCGTTCTCTTTACACTGGATTAAATATGTAAGTATCTATCTTCCTTCTGATAAGCAGTTGAACGTCAACTGACAAAAAGTTTGCGCAATTTTGCAGATATTCCTGGTCAACCTTGAGAGCACAAGAGCGATATATATGCCTCCCTGCCTGTAGAAACATCAGAATGATGTCATTAGTTCTCTATAGCATTTAAGACACCTTCGTTGTTACTAAAAGGTAAGGAAAGTTTCCAAATTTGCCATTGAATATTTAGTTTTCAAATGCCATTGATGCTATACGAAAGTAAATGCACTCAGATTTTAATCTTGGAAACAATAAAGAAATTAAATCCATTTCACTCCTATTGTCGATATATCGACGAGTATCCGAAAATGTGGATTTGAAATTGGCATCGAGCACGTCAGGCAAGGAAGAATGTACGAATAGGAAACAAAACAGGGAAACATTGTTTATGCGAAGCCGAATCAAAACCAAATCCAAACCGAATCAATGATGTTGTAACCAAACTCTGATTTCAACGACGAAAACGACGCTGGACGTTTTCTCTTTAAAATTCATCGATTGCATCGGCCCGACGAGATTTAGAACGGTATGGGCGCGCGTGCAAGCAAGCTTTTCAACAGCAGACACACACGAACGTGCGAAGAAACGGGACACTGAAAGTCGATCGAGGAGCAGCTCACGAACGCGGTAAAGATTATCGCATAAAATTTATTCGATCGGGCGAATCCGCGGTGGCTGCTGCTGTCTCTTCTAAACTCCTGCTAGACACCCTGGGTCGCGTCTACACGCGAGGCACACACACGTGGCAGCGCACACACGGCGACAAATCAATCGAATCGTAACAACTGTCACGGGCTGCAACGTAGAAAATGCATTATAATGCGTCAGGAGACGTGAACGCGATTTCAATCGACGAGTTCGCGACCGTGCGCGAATTTATGGCGGTCCAGGATTGCATTCGCCCGCTTTAAATTGCTTTTCGCAAGATCAACAGACTTGCCTCTGTACCTCGCCTACGTTCCCGTTGATCTTCCCTCGCTCGTGTCCATCCTCTTCCTATTCCCTTATCCATTTACCTTCTTGTTTGATCCATCCACTCCTGGTGTATCTGTATTTTAAATATATAATTGTATCTTTGTGTTAGGGGTTTTGTATGGTGTCGTGGGTACTGCATGTCATGTATGATAGTAGGTACATCGATGTTAAGATTCATCTATTCGAACAAAGCTTTTTGGAGTATGACCATTAACGATGTTGCTAGATTTTGAACATCTACTTTATACTCCATGAAATAGATTTTGACAAGTTCAGTCTAAGAAGTCTATCTAGTTTGGAGGTCAGTATACAGCCTGCGATCGACCTAAGATCTGCGAAAAGTGACTATAGTTGTCGAATCCATTGATAATTAATGTTCCCATATAACGACCCATAATTGGTTCCTTTTTCTTAATTTATTTATTGGTTTCATGGTTTTTCAATTTGTTATTAACAGTAGTTATTTGTTTTTAACAATAAATTTCATAATTTGTATTTTTTTCGCAAGTTATAATTAAATTTACCGAATCCATGATATTCGGTAATTTATATATTTATTTTTGCACCTCCTGAATACTGTTAATACATTTTATTTCTTTATGGGTCGTTACGTTATTAATAATTAATAATAATCATTAATGAAGGGATAGTAATGTACTTTATACGTAGTTATATTTCGCGCGCAGCTGCGTATTCCATATCGATGATTTTACTAACTGCGCATGCGTGTATTCTCCACCCGCTGCGCCTGCGCAGAGGGATGTCATGGCGTCTGTCTTCCCGCGCGTTTTAGCGAGTGCGTCGTAAAAGAATTTCAGAGAAAGTTGGAATATTGTAGATAATTTGTGTGCAAGGTGAGATACTAGTGTTATAACAAGATAGTGATCGAATACGTTCTTAATTCCAAGCTGTACAATTGGGGTGAATCGATACACAGACGGTGAGTCGTACGTTTTATAATTTTCTTGATTTACAATATGCCGTATGACATGTCGTTTCGAAACGACACGTGTGGCTGGATATATTTTATCAGTTTTATGAGCTAACATTGCGACTATGAATGCTTTCGTATATTAATGTAGTAGCATTCGTATAAAATATGTTTCTAGCATGTATTCTTTTAGTTTTACTATTGCTTTTTCTAATTTGCGCATTCGAATATCATTTTGGGTTAGTTAGCTATTCTGAAGTGATTAGTTCTTCCTTTTATCTACTTAAATGCTTCCTCGAGAAATGTAAGTGCTTGTGTACGTAATTATTTTGCTTTTATATGTATAGCATTATAAGGTTCGTTTAATGATATATTCATAGTGCAAAAATACATTCATAATCCGCTGAAGTAAGTTACGAGTATGTATATGTGTGTATATGTTTGTTTATATGTATGTGTTCTCCACGTCACAAGTATCGTTATAGAGGGTTATTTTCGCGTTTCTAATATATTTTCATTTTTTTCTTTTTAAATTTATGTCCCATTGGTTCTAACCTTGTTTTCTAAGTAGGTAAATTTAATTCGAAATTTATTTATAGTATAATTCGAAATATATCCAGTTATTATGTTAGATTAAAATGTAATTTCTCATTTATTTTATATTCTTCTATTAAAAATCATTCGAAATGAAAATCGAGAAGCACGTATATCGTTAATGGAAATTAATATCTCGGTCGAGAAAGCAATTTCTTTTGATCTAAAATGTGCAATAGGTTTATCGATTGCAAACCCGAAATAGGACTTACGAAAACTTCATATTTTCTGGATCTGCAATATAAATCGATGTTCTCAAAAATTTCAATTCTTTATAATTATCATTGGAAGTAACGATTCTTTAAAACTATCTGTCGTCATAGTTAATGTATTACATATATTAACATATATTAATGTCTTGTCAGAGGATATAGGTGAATTAGTGTTTGTATTTCCGTTCTTTCCTTTTCCTACATTTCTACTTTTACGCAAGATCTGTACCATGTTTAGCTATTGTTCTTTGGATTGCATTTCCTGCTTTTAATGTTTCTTCTAAGGATGTGCTTGGGGCTATTTGTTCGTTTCGAGTCAAAGAATATTCGTTCATTTTGTATTTTTATTGCAATTTTTTATTAAAGAGTCCAATTATTTACCGTCACGTGTATAACATTTCTTCCTTATTTCTATATAGAAATCGAACAGAACAAAGTTTAGGATTTCACAATAAGAGTACAAAGTAAAGTATAAAAATTACTAGATTTCTTGTTACTTTTAATTATTTCTTTCAAAATTAATTTTTCATTATTCTTATCCTTGGTCTTGTCAGTGTTTCCATTTTACATAAATTATTACGCTAATTTTTCGATATTTCACCTTAAAGGATTACACAACTTTGATTTCTAAAATCCCCAAAGGAATTGCAAAACGACTAAGGATTTTTGTTCACATATCCATGACACGTGCATAAAAAAGAAAAAAAAAAGGAAAAAGGAGAAAAGGATAAATTTTTCATCTGCTTCACAATTGCTTACAACGTGTCACAAATCTAGTATTTCCAAAGGAATAATTAAAAACGATGTAACAACGACGATCACAATCGAAGACTAACCCTAAATGGAAATTCACGATTTATCATAAACGTCCCAGAAGCATTCTGTCTCTCCAAATATCATCTCTATTCTACCCAGAAAAACTTGTATTAAGAAAGATACCTGCAAATTCCATTAAAAAATTCAATTTCCCTCGACAGGAATCAACTAACACGCGGTTCTTCAAGGAAGAAACGGTGAAAGATTCAGCGACGTGATTCAACATTTAGAACATCTCGAAATGTGCATGCTACTTGCGATCCAGCTGATCAAAGTTAACTTCTCAGGGAGTGTACGCAACCGATGTAGATCCTGACAGTCTCATCAAGGGAATTTAAAAGCCAACGATGGTAACTATCCAACGTTCATCGAATGGATGCAATTAGTAGATGCACTCTTTTAAGGATGTATTTCTCGATACTTACGATCCCCTAACGAAAAATCGTTGTTCGTCGATTAGTCCAATAATGATTAACCTAGTTAACATGGCAATAAAATTCCATTGTCGGTATAAAATATTTGTCATTTGGCCGGATAGGTGTCATTGTGTGCGTTCGATTAGCTTATCTTTTGTTTCTGATGTATAGAAAGCTGCCACCTCTTGTAAGAGTACATGATAAACTTGACAATTAGGTTGAGCGTGTTTGAAACGATCAGGAAGATAACAATCGTCAAGAATACTACGATGTCCATGTCACAGTATTGGTACCAAGGTTGCATGACCAGACTGGAACGAAGATGAGGAGCACCATCTGATCGGATCACGTACTCCGTCCACCATGCTAAATTTTTCACGAGATCGTATGGTGTGTCCCTGATAAGATTCTGAATTCTAATCATTCTCTTCTTGTACCTATAGACAAGTATAATAAAATGGTAACAAATACCGAATAAGGTATCATGTAGAAATATATATTATATTATTATACAACCGTATAAGATTATATAAAATATTTCATAGGAAATTTTATAAAACTTTTACAAGAATATTTACAAGAAAAGTAATTGTTTCTATATTAAAATTAAAATTAGGAAATTAAAAGATGAGGAAGGAAAGAGAAATTACAAAGTGAATTCGAAATTAGAGGAACAAAGTGGCTTTGATGTGTACACCAAAGAGCTTATTGATTATGCAATTTAACCTTCTATAAATTTATGTTCTCAATATTTGCATTTTGCAAATATTAATTTCACGATCCCATAATTTACGTGGCATTCTCGTGCATCGTTTCGACAAAGAATTGTGATAAATATTAGTTGCATAAATCATGCATTACTACGTAATCTACTCCAAGATTGTATGTACTCTACGTAAGGTATAAAGAAACAACGTGTTCAAATATGGAAAATCTGTATTAGCACTCAGAAGACGTTCGTGTACTAAATATATTAGACACATTTGTATTATAGCCTAAAATCTCATTGCACAAATGTTTAGTAGACTAGAGATTCTTCAAATTTCTGAAGTCGATTAAACAAGAATCTGCGTTGTAAAAATCATATTATTAACAATTTAGCAATTGACGTAACACCAACAGTTGTATCGAAGGAACAATAAAATGGAACTAAGGAAACAGTTACCCAAATCACAGTTAAATGTCTGTACAATCTCGACACAATTAAATAATGAAGTCATGCCATCCTCAAATTCTTGACACAAAACTATATAAATGTATATTTAATGTATACTTACTCTTTATTAGTTATCATCTCTTGAACAGCATTTTCGAATTCGTCCTTCGTGATAGTTGCGAGTTCCAGACGTTTCCCAATGCCAAGAGCATCCATCCTCGCTGCTTGATAATCTTGATCAGCCAACACTGGAATAACAATAGCTGGAACTCCAAAGTTAATAGTCTCCTCGGTACTTTGAACACCTCCTTGCGTGATGAACAGTTTAATCTTCGGATGAGCTAGAGAACGGTATAATTCGTCATATATTTCCCTTTTCTCGACCGAACTGCAGAATGTAACTAGGGTTATACCGAGGATGGTTTGCTGAGTGAACCATTTGCCGGTGTAAACGTTGCTTGGTTTCCCGACTAGGTCCTTTTCGAATTTCCACACGACTCTGTACGGCAACTTGGCGAACACATCGCAGAACATTCGTTGAAGTTCCATCGGCAAATCTGCGCTTCTTGCGTTGCTACCCAAGCTGAAGTAGATGAAGCCCGCGTCTGCACCGTCGACGAATTCCTGTAAATCCTGGGACAGGGATAATTCGAATGAGCTTCTACTTCTGACAAAGTAACCAAAGTTCGTTAAAAATACCGAAAATATAATAATTTCTGCGAAAAGAAATAGCAAGCGAAGACGAGCTATAGTGGTAGGAGAGAATTAGTATAGTCAGAAATCAACAAGAAAGATCTAATTTCTGGGGTTATGATGTGTACATATTGTTATTATTATTAGTGTTAAATTGCATAATTTCTTGCGAAGATACGTGACTTCTTTCTATAATATTTCCTTTTTCTGGCACATAATCACGGTGTCCAAATATTAATTCGAGTAATGGTATTTAAAACTGGAAATTTTTAATATCGCGGAACGACGCATGACCTGGACTACAGTCGTGGTCACTATAATAAAATTATAACTAATAATAAAATTATATTTCACGTGGTACCTTCGGCAGAGGATCCGGGTTTTCGTTTATGTGAAAGGAAGTGAACGTGATGATGTTGGCGAGTTTCGGTCGAGCTGGTGTCAGAACGTCGGATTGATCGAGAAACAACGCGCTAACGTTCTTCATGATGTCCACCAGAGGTGGTAAAGGTCCAAGATAATTCTCTGCCAATTTCTGATGAAGCGGGAGTATGTCGCGATACAAGACGTATGTCAATCTCCACATGGCTACGAAATTCGTCAATCTCTTCGTGAATGGTAAATTTGGGCCCGTGTTCGCTTGCATTTCCCACGTGTATTCGTGAGAAGGGAGCACCAATCCGCCAAGGATGTATTCGTTTAGGGTGATCATCCCTAGTGAACTCAGCGCTACGATCATGCAAAGCGTGATTAGTCAGATTTGTTAGGACCCTTCTTTCGTTTCCGATTGTTCGCGACGATCACGACGACAAACTCGGCTCCAACAATCTAATCGCTAACCTCTTTAATTCAAGATAATTCAAGTTTCTAATCTGCCAAGTTGAAAAATACTCGCGGTACGCGTGTCTTCAAAAGCAACAGTTCAGTTGCAAGTGTCAAAAAGTAAACGTTTCTACTCGTAAATTTGGGACGTTATTCGGCGTTTCGCATTCGAGGCTAAGAATTCTAAAGTATGAAATGGTCAACGAGATAGCGAAGCTGCTCTTCATGCTGCTTTTAGACTTGACGATAGAACCACAGACTTGCTGTGTGCAGCTAGAACCACGTATAGAAGACATTGACAATAATAACGAAAATACTCCGATGAGAATAGACACAGGTGTACACGATCACGATTCTATTTCGATAAATATCCAGGGCAGCTTTGACGAGCAATAACTTCGGTGACCTCGACAGGGAGGAATTGTCAAAGAAAATGTTGCAGCAGTACCTATCATGGGGACGTTAAATCTGTGCGCAAATGCATATAGGGATGGCATGTAGAGGAACTCGGTCAGAAAAATGTCAAACTTTTCGTTGCTGTTTGGAGCGTAGAGTTTTTTCATCTGCGGGGCTTCGAACACATGTCTGACGGAATCCTCGTTTATGTCGAGCAAGTGTTCCAGCACGAAGTCGTGCCATGTTGCCCCTTCGAGCCTCAGCTGCACGAAGTTGATGTCCTTCATGACACCGTAGCCCTTACTAATGTCGATCTGGGTGAAATTCGGAGATTCGATGCCCGGTATAGGGTTCGGAGTGACAAGCACAATTTCGTGGCCGCGTTCGTGCAATTCCAGCCATAATGACCAATACGGGATCTGGTGGCTATAGGACGGCGTGGCGACGACGGCCAGTATCCTGTAACACTCCGTTTGCTTCGCGACGCACAGCACGCACAGAACGAAAAACAGACCAGTCACGCTGTGCTTCATGCTCCTCGTGTCAAGACCAACTGTCGCGAGTGTTGGTTACGAGTCTTCTCTACTCCTTAAACAGGAATCTCCGTGTTATCGCCAATTTACGCAATGCGAACACGCAGACGATGATACGATATCGACATCGAATTCCAAAATGTCGTCGTTGAAACGTAGTCTGCGCTATAGTAAAAAGTCGTTGATATTACTGCTATCTCTATTGATAGTGCTTTTTGCCTCGAATTTCGTTTAGTCATGCGAAGCAACACGTGTCTCCAACATTTCCTTGAGAATTCCTCTTCGGTATGACACAATCAGTCGCGTGACCATCACGGTTCATGGCGCCAGCGAGCAGCACTATGCTTTTCTTTCCTCTGTTATCTAAATTACCGTAATTATTAATTCATCTTTGCAATCCCGACGAATCATCGCAATAAAGAGAGGTATTGAGTCATAGAACGCGACTCTTACTTTAAATCGACCTGAATAGAGTCTGCAGAAATAAAGTTCGCTCAGGCTTTTGTCCGTTGTACCAGCACCTTTATTTACATGTTTACACTTCTGTGGTTCAAGAGCGACTGAGAGTCGTTAGAGACGTGAACGAGGTAACTAGGCGTTATTTACACAACAGAGGAGACATACGTCTGTATCCGTGGATATTGCGAATTATTCAGTGTCACCGATTCACAATGGATGTCGCGTTGTGTCTGATTTGCGTGTATTTTCCTACAGATTCAAACAACCCGACTCTACGGTGGCCTATTTCAATGACTTAGATGGACAAGATGGAAAAGTTTCGTGTCTCCGAGTGATGAAAAATGTTCAACACCTTTTTAGTGGACATCGAATCATGGCTGATTTCATTGCGGACGCTTTGGTTGGTAAATTATTAATTAAAATAAAAAGGATTATACAGGTTGTTCCTGAAATCGTGGCACAACCGGCACTGAGGTAATTTCTAAAATCGTGTACTTTGTATTTATTTATTATATTAATTATTTTCCATTATTCATCGTGATATGTGCATTTTCTTTTATTTTCAGGGTAACTCGATAGATGTAGTATTATCTTGGTTGGTAAATTATTAATTAAAATAAAAAGGATTATACGGGTTGTTCCTGAAATCGTGGCACAACCGGCACTGAGGTAATTTTTGAAATCGTGTACTTTGTATTTATTTATTATATTAATTATTTTCAATTATTCATCGTGATATGTGCATTTTCTCTTATTTTCAGGTTAACTCGATGGATATTGTATTATCTTGCCATTGTTAAAAATTAAACAGAATAATTGGAAGCAAACATAACGTTAAAATATCGTTATGATAGTGGATAGTACCAACATTTTTTGCTTGTATTTTATAATTTTATTTTATGACAGTTCTTTATTCACAGATAACTTTATTTCACAGATAAACTTCCATTAACGACAGCACAGGGAGTCATGGAGATATTATCGAGTTCTTAACGTTAACGTCGCACGTTAGAAGCAGAAAGAGGACATAAATTTTTAATTAAAATTTCCCTTTATTCGTTTTATTGATAATTATACAGGCACGCAGTAGTCGACTACAATCGTCATTATTATGTTCTCAGTTCTCTGTAAATATTATAAAAGCTACGATATTTTATATTTAAACTTCATTAAAAATTTCACCAATTTTTATGAGAAGACATAACGACATAATTTCAACGATACCTGCGCAGCTGAGAAAAGTCGTTCCTCCGGCAGGAATAGCTAAGAAAGATAAATAATAAAATAAGAATTGCTTTCACCTGCCGATCTCGGAAGTACGATGGATAACTAGAAATAGCGGAGAGAAATCGAGACGAAGAACGAGAGAACGTCGAGCGCAGAGAGAAGACGTATTGTTCCTTCTTCGCGCAGATAATGGAGCTCACCTGTCAGACCGAGTTATGTCTCTCCTGTTGGAAGAATGCGTTATGCTTCTACCTCACTTACAAACCCTCCTTTCCTTCGCTATCATTCGTTTTCTCCTTTGCTCGTGCTAGATACGGATATGGAAGAAGAAATCAATGTTCGGACGATCCGGTGCCTGTGTTCGACCCGTTCGAGTAGTCGTCCATAGGAATCGAGGAAAACATTTAGCCATCGAGGAACAGCGATTTCCACCAAATCGTGTTTAATCTTGGCAAACTGGAACGATATTATTGGCGAGTGAAATTTAGTCCCATGAAAAGAATATGATTGGAGAAGTAAGGTGTCTTATTTACCTATGATTTGTTACGGTGTATTGCAGGTTACAGTACTATTTCGATACTGTGAGTGGGATGTGGGACATCGATGGAAGAATATGAACAGGTCTTAGGGTAAGTTACAAGTATCTCATTTCGTATTCAATTTTCAATAATACTGTCTTGAATTCTGAAGAAAATAACGTTGATTTTATAATGAAAGAAAGCTATTATAACTGTTAAGTCGCATAAAAATATTCAGATTACTAACAAGATTCTTTCATTAGCTATGTTTATTTTACAGCTTCTGTCTATTATTCTGCGAATTTCTTCTATTATTATTAGTTCCATGTCCGTCGATTCAAATTCTTGTATTTTCTCTTCTTCATAGTTCAAGTTTGTATTGTATATTGATATTCCACTTCTATTAAATGCCGCAACGTACAGTTTAAAATTACTTATACAAATTTAGTTAGTTCTCCCTTTTTCATCCCTCATTTCCACTAGTACCTTCAGAAATTATAAGCAGAGTATGGAAGGTTAGAGAGAAATTGTGCTCTTGTCTGTCAGATGGTTAGACCTTCTTCACAACCATCGACCACTTCATAATTCGAGAACCACCGCTTTGAAAAACCAGCCCTTAACTCTACGTATCTCGAAAAAGCTCGTATCTTTACCCCTCGACTCTCGTTCCACGTACTTTGTAAGAAGCATTTTCCTGGAAAAACAGGCTACTCTCCATGATCGCTTACCGTTTCACACGTCGAAATCCGCATCGTGGAGAGTAACTGTTATTCCGTGTTACTTGCATCGGTGTGCTGAACGCTTGCACCGATCAGGAACCACAAAAGATTCCAACGCGCAAAAAAGCTCGGCGTGGCCGGGTGCGGTCACGTCGTTGCAAGTGTGAACGTCGTAAATCTAATATAAACTAAACAATTCCAGGGTAGATGGAGAGGCCGGGAACGAAGAAAAGGGACGACGATTCCGTAGCCGTAAAACGTGGCCGGTCGTTGCAGGTGCCGTAGAATGTAGCGAGAATCAAATTGCGAGCAGCCACGTCGTTTGCGGCCGCCTCTGTTGCTCGCGTCGCATACGCGAGGGGTCAGGCGAATAAAACGAATAAAGCGTTGCTCTTTATGCGTGCCTCGCCGGTAAATACTGGCGCGTATAACTGCATTGCGGGAGCGGCAAGGGTCTCGTTGCCACGGAAGCAATGAATTCCGTTTATTACACCGTTGCACGCTTTTCTTCATCTTCGTTCGCTTTATCAAAACCGCTTGTTTTGCAAAGGATTACACGATGCGAGAAAGAGGGGAAAGGGACGATGGCGAGTCCGTGAAACTGCACCGAGATTTATGCCCCAATCTGTCCATCGAATTAACGTTGGCCTCGTGTCTCTGCAATTCCCTTTTTCCAGCAAGATGAGTCGTTTATGAAGGAAATAAATGCAGATGGATTTCGAGCACAGGGGATCATCGTGTGGTATCGTTTTGAAATTTCTCTTTTAGGTATTACGCGCAATTCTGGGGAAAGTCTGTGTAATTTTTAGAAGGCACGAAATTGGGAACCCTATCGACATAGGAACTATTAAATTAGCGAAATAAAGTAGTAAATTTAGTGCAGGCTTTTATATACGATATTTAGCGTTAAGGGAATAGAATTGGTCATAAAGAGTGCAATGGAATTGTTGAATCTTCGTTAGTTGGTGAAGTGGCAGAATTTATTTGTTCGTATTTCATCGGTAATTATAAGTTATACTGCGAAATGTTTGTTATATTTGCACCTTTATATTTTTATTATATTCATATGCTATTCCATATAAGTATTGGTTAGTCCGACATCTTCATCCTGCTTTCATATGATGATGGAACTAAATATGATGCTTACTCTACCTTTTGTGCTTCCTTGTATCAAGGTTTTTATGCTGCTAGATAGAGGCTGACGTACCACCATCTTTTTATTTACCAGACATCTTTGACGTCTTTCCCGTGCGTTCGTTTCAATGATGGAGGGTGCCTGTCAAATTCTGAGGAGAAAAGGCCAAAGAATTGCCACGACCGATCCATCCTCTCTTGGTAATATCTTTCTCGTACATCCTCTTCCTTTTATCTTATAGAGTGATGCAGGAAATTCCTAATTGACGTACAGCTATTAATACCTCTTCGTTATTTTCTCTATAAAAATGAGAATTTTAAACATTTATCGATTATTTCATCGACGTTTTAAATGTCCCTTGTCGTGAATTCACGTTATAAACATTTAGTTAATTCAATACACGTGTTAGAATATTTTCAGAGTGTGCCAGCAAAAATAACAAACCATAGATGATTAAGAAAATAGAACATTTTCCTAACAGAACGTTCGTGTTGAAGCTTCCTAGTTGCTATAATCACCGATATAATATTCTCTACAGGATGAAACTGTCTTATGAAACACTCTTTTAACGCTCTCTTCGCCCATGGACACCCTGAAAATTCCAGAATACTCGCAAGGTATTAACGAAAAAAAGAAGAAAGCACCTGATACACAGAGGTTGGCACGGTTAAGTCGCGCAACAACTACGCTTAAAGCTTTAAAGCTGCTAACTACGTATGCACATATATACGTACACCGAATAGCGAAAGTTGCAAGAGCACGCTGGCTTTAATAGACGTCGTCTGAGGCGGACGATGATGAAATTCACGCGAGACGATTCGTCGATCTATATTCTAGGCTGGTCGCGGGGAATTTTAAAACTTGCCAACTCTATTTTGCCAACAAACTTTGCCAACGAATATTCCCGTTGAAAGCGGCTTTATGCAGCTACCCCTTCTTTCTCCGCTCTTTTCTCTCTCACCCT